TCGATGGTCCTCGCTGGTAAAAAAAATGCACACGTCGGAGCGATGCCAAGGCTTCTCTCAGTCAGACCTGACGGCGCGCTCAACTTTCGCCCTCCCCGTTGGCGCCGACCCCATGCCCAGACACCCGACGTCATGATTTGTAAGTATACTTGCCAACGCTCGGACGTCCATTTCGCGTGCATTTTTCGGTTTCGTGCGTGTTTTTTTGGCTCGATGGTTCAGGATGGTCCTCGATGGTTCTCGCCGACAAAAAGAAAACACGTCCGAGCGATGCCCAGTATAACGTGGGGCCCCAGAAATCTCGACCCATTCCACGGCACCAGCTTCTCATCCTGAGTCGTTTTTTGACGGCCCTGGGGACCCATGAGGACCAACGGAGGCCGAAGATGATGAACACCTCCCGCCATGATCTTTCCAAGACCCAATGGGGGTCTGGGGGAGCGCTCGCTCGTTCGGGGTGGGGGGATGGGGAAGAGCCAGGGTGCTCACGGCTTGGATGGTTCGGCTGCGTCGCAGTCGGCTGCGTTCGGTCGGTTCGGTTCAGTCCGCTGTTGCGACAAACCTTCCGTCCCCTCCTCCTCCTCCTCCTCCTCCTCCTCCTCCTCCTCCTCCTCCTCCTCCTCCTCCTCCTCCTCCCCCCTCCCCCTCCTCCTCCTCCTCCTCCTCCTCCTCCTCCTCCTCCTCCTCCTCCTCCTCCTCCTCCTCCTCCTCCTCCTCCTCCTCCCGACCCCAGGAGGTCCGGGCGCGGAGCCGAGGGAGCTTCCCTCCCCCGAGCGGCCCCTGCGGTGCAGCAGGGCCACCGCGCGCAGCAGCTGCCCGAAGCGGTCGCGGAGCAGGCCGCGCAGCCGCGACGGCGCCTCGCGCGGCTGCGCGAACCTCTCGGCGCGCGGCCGCGGGGGGGCATCGGCGATCGAAGGTCGAGGACCCAGGCTGGAGTTATGATGCTCCCATCGCACTTAAGGGCCACGCCCCAGAAATAATCTCGAGCACCCAGAACAGCGTCGAGAGAGTGTCGAAGCAGTATCGGACGAGTGTCTCCCAGGGACCGGCACGCGAAAACCCAAACGGGCCTCTTTACCACGCCCTGGGAGGGTTCTCCGAATGTCAGGGGGGTAAAAATTAACACCCCTCACGCAGATCGTCGGGGTCAGGGTCCAAAAACACAATGGATTTGCCACATGTCTGAAATTCGGTGGCACCCCTCACGCAGGTCGGCGGGGTCTGGGTCCAAAAACAAATGGCATTTGCCACATTTCTGAAATTTGCTGGCACTCCTCATACAGACCGGCGGGGTCAGGGTCCAGAAAGCACATGGGATTTGCCACATTTCTGACATTCGGTGGCACCCCTCGCGCAGATCGTCGGAGTCAGGGTTCAAAAACACAAAGGATTTGCTACATTTCCAAAATTCGGTGGCACCCCTCGCGCAGATCGGCGGGGTCAGGGTCCAAAGACACACGGCATTTGCCACATGTTTGAAATTCGGTGGCACCCCTCACACAGATCGGCGGGGTCAGGGTCCTAAAACACATGGGATTTGCCACGTTTCTGAACATCGGCGGCACCCCTCACGCAGATCGGCAGGGTTAGGGTTCACAAACACAAGGGATTTGCCACATTTCTGAAATTCGGCGGCACCCTTCACGCAGATCCGTAGGGTCAGGGTGCAAAAACACAAATGATTTGCCACTTTTCTGAAATTCGGTGGCACCGGTGACGCAGATCCGTAGGGTCAGGGTCGAAAAAACAAACAGGTCCGGACACTGCTTCACGGCGGCGCCCAGACCTCATGATTTAGCTCGTGCATCTCCCATTATCCGAGACAGGGGGCCGGCGGCATGGGGCGAAGCCCTTACGGATATAACAACTCACAGATGATCAGAGATAGTCTAAACATCATCCCCATATTATTTGTTGACCATTTTTGAATATTCTTCCTGTAGAGGGACAGGCCCGACTTACGAATGGAAGGAAAAAATTGAGCCAGGACGAAAATCGAATCGGGTGAGGCTAAGCCGAAGACCTCTGAAATCCGGCGGGGCTGGAGGACGTCGCAAGCGCTGCGGCCTGCTCAGAGCGTTCCGGAACGCCCCGGTAAGGATGTAGAGGCCTTGGAGGGCCACGTTGACGGTTCTCGAGGGAGGCTGGCCAGCGAGAATTGCCAAGGACGAAGACAAAACTGCAGAAGGGTGGCCTTAGAGAGTCGCTCATCCTTACTGCGCGGGTTGACTGTAGAGGAACCAAAACATGCATACACGTCGGTCGGAAGAAGTAGGTAAAAACATGAAGTAGGAAGGCGGACTAAGTTAATTGGGTCCAGGCCCCCCAGAGAACAACAAAACACAGCAAAAGCGTGTCGACAATTGAAGTAGGAAGGCGCTTTCGAAGTAGATGGGGATCTGGGAATCCAAAAATACCTACGTTCAACGACCGGCGTGTAAGCATCATGTCTCGGAACTCCGCGAGGATCTCCTGGATCCGTGCCGGACCCCTGTCCCTGGCGCACGGGAGGCGCTGGGGGCGGCGCCAGAGGCGCCGCCAGGGGGCCCCAGGGCCGATCCAAGAAGTGCGCGCGGAGCTCCGGAAGAGCATCTTCATGCAACTGCGTTCTTCCTCGATGCGTGCCCGCTGAGGACCGAGGATCGAGGACTCGGGGGTCGAGGGCCTGGCGCTGGCGCTGGAGGCGACGCCCCCCTCGCCATGCCCCCTTCCGCGGGCCTCCGAGCAGGCCCTCGCTGCCGCGACTCTTTCCCCCACTCGACGGCCTCGGCGCCCAAGAAGCGCCCCGCAGCCCGACGATCGCTCAACGCCTTCCGCCGTGGTTACCGTCGGCGGTGGACAAACCTCCCTTTGGCAAACCTCCCCTTGGTGAAAACGGCCTGGACCGAAACCGGCGGACCCGCACCCGCAGAACTGACGGCCGCGACGCCCTCACGCGAACCGAAAGCGGCCGACTCCTTCATCGACGTGTCGCGTCAGGGTAGGAGGTCTATCAGCCTCCGAGACTGCCACGACGCGGCGCGGTGGGGGGCCTGGGGTCCGGGCCCGAAGCGGAGCCTCGTGCCTCTCCTGCGGTTGCGCCGCCGCGAGGACATCTCGACGCGAGCGCAGGCGCGGGGACGAGGGGCTCCAGAGAGGAGGCCGAGAGCACCCCGAGCAGCCCCGCCTCCGCGCGTGCCCTGGTGGTTCCCCACGCCCGCGTGCAAGATTTTTTTTTGTGGCTCAGATCTCGTAGCAGATCCCACCTCTGGAGGTCCCTCTTCACGTCTGGGGGGGGCGGAATCCATCGTGGGCGCGAACCAGGGATACCGTCGGACTTGCTTGTAGAGGGCACGCGAGAGGACCACGAGGCCCTTCCGAGGGCCACGCGGCCACCGGAACGCAGGAGGCATGGGTCGCAAGGCACGGGACACGAGGGTGCCCTTGATCTGGCAGGGTCGACCTGCTGGTCCGGGCCGCCTGTAGGGGGAACGACAGGGGGGGGGGGGGCTATGTCAGCCGGCGATGCATCGCCGAGGAGTCGGCGACGGGCCCCCGATGGCGAAACCGCACGCTCCTGGGCGGGGTGGGCCATCAAGCACCTCTCGACGGTCAATGGTCGCGGATGCCACGACAATGGACACCCTAAGGATCCTATCGTTGAACTTAACCTGTGCTCAAAAATATAGGAAGCATGTTCTGAACATGGTTAAAACATGTTGTGTACATGCCTACAACATGTTTAACACATGTCTTAGACGTCTGGGAATTGTTTGGCTACATGCTTCCTCTCCACTGATCGCCCTCCACAAGTCCATGGGAGATCGGGGGTCGATGCGCCCCCCCCGAGCCGACCCGCCCCGAACGGTGCTCCAGAACGGCCCAGCCACAAAACCCGCCTCTCTGGCCGCCGCTCGGGGGCGATCCCAGGGCAACCCCGGAGCCCCCTCTGCGAGGCGCGACTGCTGGGACAGGCATCCGGAGGCTGGAGAAGTCACCGAGGGCCGACGCAACAAAAAAAACGCCCGGAAGCTGGAGCCTCGACCCAGATGCCTGCGAGCCCCGAACCTCTGAAGGGAGTCCGACCCTGCGCAGGGCCCAGGCTCCCCGGGGCCTGGCGCAGGCCGCGACGACGAGCAGGGCGGCCGCGCGCCCGGAAGGCCACAGAAGCCGACGCAAAAACGCCCGACAATCGAGCCTCAGAGCTTCGCCCCCCCCTACCCTTAGGTCGGGCGTGTCCTCCTACAGGGGGACTTTCGACGAAAAATAAAAAATCCCAAAATACTCCAAACTAATAAAAAAGAAACTCCAAAAATAGTCCCCCGACTATTTTTTCCTATTTTTGAATGCTCCCCCTGTAAAGGGACACGCCCGACTTAACCCTACCCTTGGGCGCTGCCTTCCAGCAGCTGCGTCTCGGCGAGGGGTGCCCAGATGGTCCCCCGAAGCCCGAACTCCCTCTCCACCTCCCCCCTCCCCCCAGACCCCCTCGGGCCATGAAAAAAACAGGATGAAAGGCTGCCATAATATTCGGCCTCCAGGGGCCCTCACCGGGCATCGGGATCGCCAACAAAAAACCTCCAGGACGAAACAGGGGCCGAGGAACGGGTCGAGAACTCTGGCGGTCGATGTTTTTTTGTATGGGGGTCTGGGCCCCTTCCCCCTCGAGGGGCCGCGAGCAGCCCTGCCTCCCCCCTTTCCCCACGCACTCCGGAGAGGGCATGGTGGAGGGGGGCCAGCTCAGGGGGCGAAGTGCTTGCATCGGCGATACAGCGCCAACACGACGGCGACAGATGGGCGTCAGGCCCCCCGACAGCAACGCCGCGTGGTCCTGGGCGGGCTGGGCTGTCGGGCCCCCGGCGGCGATGAATTGTCGATTGTGTGGGGTCGATGCGCCCCCCACCCCGGGAGCCCGTCCACTCCTGATGCTGCCCCTGCCTTTGAGCAGGGACCGACCGTCCCCCCAAGAATGTTCTAAGAACACAAACACTGTTCTTAGGACATTAACCCGATGTGTTAAA